CCCGATAGAAAAATCGAGAGTCCTCCAAGTAGGCTATCAGCTCAGCGGAAGATGTTGGTGCGCTCCATTTACTCCGGAGTTGCTTGTTTGGTCAGTATGATTTAGACGCGTATTGTTTGGTATGGTGGGGCCCTATCCCAACCTTTATGTTAAGTGTGTACTCTTAGAGTCTTGTAGACAGATTTCATGTATACGAATGCTTGTATGGCCTTGCCGGCTTATGTTTTGAGTTTACAAATGATCATGTTGGCCTTATAGGCCCGTATGTCACATGTATAAATTTTATGTCAGGTTGGGTCGTTCCATATTGAGTATTCCCTTATGTTTATTCTGGTTAGCCCATGACGGTCCGTTTGGCCCATTTACCAACAAAATTACAATAAGAAAGATATGTTATGTTGGTACTCGGTTGAGTAAGGTACTGGGTGCTCGTTGCGGCCCATCGGTTTGGGTCGTGACATGGACCCAAATCGCCTAAAAATTTTCCAGTCCATCAAAAACGGCTGAAGAAACAATAGTCATCGCTTCGCCATGAAAGCTTCTCGTTTTTTGGCGTTTTAGGCCATAAAACTGGAATTCCGCCCGATTCCTATATTTTCGTGTGCTATAGCCCACGCCATCTGCATGCATTTGGGCGAATGGACCCCTATTCGCCTAAAAAATTATCGGCCCATAAAAAATAACCCTAGGAACAATAGTCATTGTACAGTTCCTAATTTATTGGCGTTTTAAGACCACAAATTGGAATTCCGCCCGATTCTCAACTTTTCGTGTGTTATAAGCCACGCCATCTGCATGCGTCCGGACGACCAGACCTGAATCGCCTAAAATTTTACTGGCTCATAAAAAATTACCTAAAGAGCAATAATCATCACATCGCCATGATCGTTCCTCATTTTTTGGCGTATTAGGTCCATGCCATCTTCATGCATCCAGGCGACTAGATCCGAAACGCCTAAAAAATTTCGTTCCATAAAAAATTATCTATGGAACAATAACCATAGCTTCGCCATGATTGTTTCTCATTTTATGACGTTTTAGGGCCACAAAACTAGAATTCCGCCTGATATCTAGATTTTCGTGGCTAGCTCATGCCATCTTCAAGTATCCGGTCGGTCGGACTCGAATCGCCTAAAATTTTGTCAACTCATCAAAAACGACCTCAGGAACAATGACCATCGCTTCGCCATGATCGTTTCTCATTTTTTGGCGTTTTAAGGCCACAAAATAGGAATTTCGCCCAAGTCCCAAATTTTCGTATGCAATAGGCCACACCATCTGGCGATCAGACCCGAATCGCTTAAAATTTGCTGGCCCATCAAGAACGACCTAAGAAAAATGGTCATCGCTTCGCCGTAGTCATTCCTCATTTTTGGCATTTTAGGGCCATTAAATTAGAATATTGCCTGATTCTCAGATTTTCATGTGCTATAACTCACGCCATCTACATGTATCCAGGCGACCAGACCCGAATCGCTTAAAATTATGCCGGCCCATAGAAACTACCTAAGAAAAATAGTCATCGTTTCCCATGATTGTTACTCATTTTTATATTTTAGGGAGATAAAACTGGAATACCACCCGATTTTAAGATTTTCGTGTACTAGCCCACACTATCTACATGCATCCGGACGACCGGGCCCGAATCGACTAAAATTTTGTCGGCCCTTCAAAAATGACTAAAGGAACAATGTCCATCGCTTCGCCATGATCGTTCTTTTTTTTTGCGTTTTAGGGTCATACAACTGGAATTCCGCCCAATTTCCAAATTTTCGTGTGCTATAGTCTACGCCTCTAATGTATCTGGACGACCGGACGTGGATCGCTTAATATTCTGTCGGCCCATCAAAAATAACTAAGGGAACAATGGTCATCTCTTTGCTATTACCGTTCCTCATTTTTTGGGGTTTTAAGGCTATAAAACTGAAATTCCACTCGATTCTCAGATTTTCGTGTGCTAACCCATGCCATTTGCATGTATCCGGGCGACCAGACCCAAATCGCCAAATATTTTGTTGTCGTATCAAAAATGACCTAAGAAAAATGGTCATCACTTCACCATGACCGTTCCTCGCATTTTAGCGCCACAACTAAAATTGCGCTTGATTCCCATATTTTCGTATGTTATAGCTCACGCCATCTGCATGCATCCGACGACCGGACCCAAATTGCCTAAAAGATTTGCCGACCCATAAAAATAACCTAAATTTTGTCTTGCGAATTCATAAAAATGGTGTGAACATTAGAACACGAAAAATTGAAAACGTCCTAAATTCCTATTTTATGACCCTAAAATGTCAAAAAATAGGGAACATTTACTTTCATTAGGTCCTTTCTAATGGAACCACAAAATTTAGGCGATTTTGAGTCCGTCGACCAAATTCATGAAGATTGTGTGGGCATAAGCACACGAAAAAATGAATATACTCTTGTTTCATAGTCCTAAAATGCAAAAAAAAAAAACAAGGGTCATGCAGACGTTATGACTATAGTTCATTCGGTAGTTTTTGGTGAGCTTAGAAAATTTTAGGCAATTCAGAACCTGTCACCCGAATTCATGATTATGGCATAGACATTAGCACACGAAAAATTAGAAATCATTCTGAATTTCTTCTTTATGGTCCGCCAGAAAACGAGGAACGGTAATGGCGAAACGATGAATATTGTCCATTATCACGCAAGAATTCATGAAGATGACGTATACATTAACAGATTAAAAATCAGAAACCATACTGAATTCGTGTTTTATGGCCCTAAAATGCCAAAAAACGAGGAATGTCATGTTGAAGCAAAGAGTTGTTCATTAAGTCATTTCTGATTGGCCCACAAATTTTTAGGCGATTCATGTCCTGTCACCTAAATTCATGAAGATGGTGTATACACTAAAAGACGAAAAATTAGAAATCGCCCTGAATTCCTGTTTTACGGCCTTAAAATGCCAAAAAACGAGGTGCAATCATGGTGAAGCAAAGACTATTTATTAGGTTGTTATAGGCCTAAAAAATTTTATGCGTTCGGAGCCCGTTGCCCGAATTCATGAAGATGGCGTAGACATTAGCACATGACAAATTAGAAATCGTCCTGAATTCTTGTTTTATCCCCTAAGATGCCAAAAAACGAGGAAACATTCATGGCGAAGCAATGACTATTTTTTATTAATTCGTTCTGATGGACATGTAAAATTTTAGGCGATCCAGAGCCGATCGCCCCAATTCATGAAGATGGCGTGGACAATAACACACGAAAAATTAGAAATTGTCTCCTGTTTTGTGGCCCAAAAATGCCAAAATCGAGGAATAGATATGGTGAAACAATGACTATTGTTCATTAGATCAATTCTTGGCCCAATAAATTTTAGGTTATTCGTAGCACGTCGCCCGAATTCATGATGATCTGTGGACTAACCATACAAACAATTGAAAGTCATCCTGAATTTCTATTTTATGACCCTTAAATTCCAAAAAACGAGGAAAGATCATGGCGAAGCAATGACTATTAATCATTAGATCGTTTCTGATGGGTCCACAAAATTTTAAGCGATTTGGTGCCCATCCACGAATTCATGAAGAGAGCATGAACATTAGCACATGAAAATTTGGAAATCATCCGGAACTCCTATTTTATTGCCCTAAATTCCAAAAAAACAAGAAACAGTCATGGCGAAGTAATGTCTCTTGGTCATTAGGTCATTTTTCATGGGGCCATAAAATTTTATGCGATTCAGAGTTCCAGCGACAGAGTTCATGAAGATGGCATGGACAAAGCACACAAAAAATTAGGAATCGTCCCGAATTCCAATTTTATGAACCTAAAATGCCTAAAAAATAAGAATCGCCATGGCAAAGCGATTACTATTATTCATTAGGTCGTTTCTAATGGGCCCACAAAACTTTAAGCGATTTGAAGCTCATCGCTCGAAATTATGAAAATGACGTGGACATTAGCACATGAAAAATTAGAAATCATCTGTTTTATGGCCCTAAAACGCTAAAAAATAAGGAACAGTTATAGCAAAGCAATGACTATTATTTATTAAGTCGTTTCTGATGAGCCAAAAAAAATTAGGCGACTCAGAGCCCTTCGCTCCGAATTCATAAAGATGCTATGGGCATTAGCAAACGAAAAATTGAAAATCGTCCTGAATTCCTGTTTTATGACCCTAAAATGCCAAATAACGAGAAAAAGGCATGGCGAAACAATGACTAATGTTCATTATGTCGCTTCTGATTGGCCCACAAAATTTTAGGCGATTCGGTGCCCATCGCCCGAATTCGTGAAGATTACATGGACATTAACACACGAAAAAATCGAAAATCTTCTTGAAATTTTATTTTATGGCACTAAAATGCTAAAAAGGAGGAACGGTCATGGCGAAGCGATGATTATTGTTCGTTAGGTCATTTCTAATGGCCCACAAAATTTTAGGCTATTCGAAACCCGTCGCCCGAGTTATGAAGATGACGTATACATTAGTACATGAAAAGTTAAAACTCGTCCTGAATTCATGTTTTTCTAAAACGCCAAAAAATGAAGAACAATCATGTGTAGTTATGACTATTGTTCATTAGGTCGTTTTTTATGGGCCCAAAAAAATTTAGCCGATTCGGAACCTATCACCAAAAATCATGAAGATGGCATGGACATTAGCACACAAAAAATTGAAAGTCGTACCGAATTCCTATTTTATGGCCCTAAAACGCCAAAATTAAAGAACAGCCTTGGCAAAGTGATGTCTATTGTTTATTAGGTTGTTTTGACTGGCCCACAAGATTTTAGGCGATTCGAAAACCGCCATCCGAATTAGTACGCAAAAAATTAAAAATTGTCTTTAATTTCTGTTTTATGGCCCTAAAATGTCAAAAAAAAAAAAAACAATCATGTAGAAGCAATGACTATTATTCATTAGGTCGTTTCTAATGGGTCCACAAAATTTAAGCGATTCGGTTCCCGTCACACGGATTCATGAGATGACGTAGACATTAGCACACGAACAATTGAAATTGTCCTGAATTTTTATTTTTTGACCTTAAAAGTACCAAAAAACGAGGAATGATCATGACAAAACAATGACTACTATTCATTAGGTCGTTTCTAATAAGCCCACAAAATTTTAAGCGATTCGAGCACTGTCGCCTGAATTCATGAAAATGGCATGAACATGAAAAATTGGAAATCATCTTGAATTCCAACTCTAGGAAGATAAGTGCAAGCGGCGTCTTGAATGAATTACTACCAGTCGAATCAAATGTAGCTAATCCGAATAGGTAATTACGTGCCTTTAACCAGTTATGCCTAATATGTGGGTGAACCAAATGAGGAATGAAGAGGCAGCGTGGCTGTCACCCTTGATAGCTCCCTATCATTTTCAGTAGCTGAATGGAAGAACAGACTGGTTTGAAAAGCAGCTGCCGGCATATATTTTGGGCCCTCGCGAAGCAGGTTGAGATTCTTTCGATGATCTCCTTTCTGGATGCTGCAAGAGGTCAAGGAGGAATGGGAAATAAAACCTTTTGTGATGCTTTCTGTAATAATAGTTATAAATTTTGTACAAATTACTAATAAATGTAGGATCTATGAAAGTGGTACAACACAAATGCTCAGAAACAAATATGGTAAATGAGCTTCATACGGAATGATTTCAAATACCTGCAACTACTTTCTGTTGAAATTACAGATCCTCATTTTCTATGCCATTGTTCAAATTCGAAGGGTTTCTCAATGATCAACCTTTTGTTAGGAGTTTTCAGTTGCACTGAAATTTTCCATGTTTTTCATAACCATAATATGTGCTACATTCTACTTTGAGCTAGGTTCTTTTAGAAACTCAATTACCACCATGTGATGTAATACTGAATATAAAGTCTACAAAAGGAAATAGTAGTTTCTAAAGCATTATAAATTAAAGTCGACTAGCAGACCTTTTCAAGTACTAGGATTTTCCTTCACGGCATATTGTTGAATCTGAAGATATCACTCGGCAGTTTACACCTACAGCATGTGAAATTAGATTCATTTCTGCACTCAAGTAATGCACAAAACATAATAAAGGAAAAGAGCTGGAGCAAAAGATAGTAGAATAAGGAAAACCATGCCTTCCACTGATAAGACAGATGAAAAATGATATAGGATTGGTGCTGACAACCTTAACCTCTAACCCAAAAGGAAAGAAAGGATTTCAAGGTGAAATCACTTGTGGAGAAGGCTAGTAGCTCAGAACTATCAACATTATGTCTCTAGATTAACAAATGTTCCATAACAGCAATATATAGGCAAATACGCCCAAAGAGCTAAGAAAGTGCTAGAGCTAAAGCATTGCATCAGATCTGCTGAGGCAATATCGTTGCAATTCTGATATGCAATTGATACCTAACGTAGATGCATTCATGTCTCTGTCACAGATTTTCATCTACACATCTTATTTTCATAATTAGAACAAGCATACTTATGTTCTAAAGTGACAATGAAATCTGCTCCAAATGTCTACAGAAACTCTAAAATTGTGCAGTAGATCGAGTTTATTCGGCTGTAAATAGCTAATTACACACAAGATCATCCAAATTTTTACATATACATATATTTAATAAGAAAGGGGAGCCAGCTATAGCATTGACTATTCTGAGATATGAGAGCATACTATCACCTTAACTTATTGCCCAAGAAATAAACTACCTCAATCTAGCACGTAAAAGAAGGGGGGCCTTGGTAAAGTTGCTGCGATGTGACCAGAAAGTCACGGGTTCGAGCTGTGGAAACAGCCTCTTGCAGCTATGCATAGTAAGGTTGCGTATAATAGACCCTTGTGGTCCAGTCTTTCCCCGAACCCCGCACATAACGGGAGCTTAGCGCACCAGGCTGACCATTATTTTTTAATCCAGCACATAAAACTTTTTCTTGACAGGCTGCTACATTGTGCACCATAACATGTATAACAGGTAAATTAACAAGTCAATTTCAGCAAATATGAAAATAATCAGTAACTAAATAATCATATCATGAACCTTGAGAAACATTCCACATACCTGCAACTAAACTTGATAATCGCTTGTAATCACAAGAGACTTCATAAATAAAAAGGTCAAAATAATGAGAAATGGATTGGAATAATCATTACGAGACCAAAGAAAATCAGTGATAAAGTATGCAAAAGAAGAAAAATTGCTAGAAGAAAATATGGAAGACATATTTATCTGGTCTATAATTCTCCTTATAATATAACAAGAATTGTATCATTCGATAAGACGGACCACCATTTCTACAGTAGGTCAACTTTGTTCTGTTCTAAAGAGCTACTTATACATAAGAGTATCAAAAGCTTCTATATACATTTAACAAGGAAAGGGATGCCACCTATGGTTTTGACTATTTATGAGACAAGGGAGAACACTATGGCCTACACGTATATAAATTGTAAAACTTAGTACGTAAAATTTCTCCTCAACGGTATGCTACCTTGTGCACCAAAACCTGATAACACTTCAGGATTACGAGTCTCCCTTCTCCACGTTGTTCAGATATATCATCATCATGCAATCTATTCCTTACATATACCAAAGATAATTGCAGAGTGGCCGCTTGTCCTCAAACACTTATGAATCTAGAATAGCAGGACGTATCCAGACAGGTTTTACATTTGGACAGGCTCTCGTTTCAGGAGAAACTCCTTCAAATGAGCCATCCGTATGTGAAAGTGTTGAAGGAAACCCAAAGTCCACCAAGTAACAAGATACAGAATAAGATAATACTGACATAAACATGCTAAGAAAGAGAAGCTAAAAATAGCAGGTCAGTAACAAGATAATTTTATCAAAGATGAATATGAAATCATTTACTAAGCAATCCTATCATGGAGATTTAGAAACATTTCCTTTTCCTGCAATAGATCTTACTAATCGGTAAAATAATTCAAACTAGTTTCATCTATGGTTTCATGGATGCACTATTAAGCTACATTAATCTTTTAAGAGTTCCAATTTATAGATACATACATCATATCTGTCCATAAACGAACAATTTCCAGAAATTACATTATCAAAATCTTCCTAGCTTCTTCTAAAAGCAATTTAGGATTCAAGATTTGGCAATCAAATCGAAGCAGTTAATAAAGTTCCAAAATCTGCACACACAAAAAAAAACAAGAATCATCATGGAAAAGGATAAGATTCACTCAAAGGGTTAATCAATCTAGGGTTCTAAAGGAAAAAAAATAAAATTTACCGACTCAAAAACATCACTGGAATCTTGAAAATCGGTGAAAGTGCTCCAGCTCCAGCACCGGAGAAGTATCCGATCAATGACCCATTCCGTTTTCCAACTCAGATGAATGGAGGTCCACTCACCAGTTGATAATATTTTCCATGCCATTAAAGGAAAGTCACAAGCCTGACAAATGTGTCTTTTCAAGAAAATGTATGACATTTTTTTCACACACAGGGCATGCTTTTGTAAATGAAATGACAAAAGTTTATCTAAACACCAGGAAATACTGTATTCTTTCTTTAATTATCGGAAACAGCCTCTCTACTCCCCGGAGTAGGGGTAAGGTCTGTGTACACACTACCCTCCCCAAACCCCACCTGGGGGATCTCACTGGGTTGTTGTTGTTGTCGTTGTTTCTTTTAGAGATTGTCACACATATTTGTCAGGTTTGTGACTCTCCTTACATATAACATGAAAGATTATCATTTGATGAGACGGACCACCATTTCTAGCATCTAAGAAAGAAAAAGGAACGAGATTGATCGATCTAAAAAAAACTAAACACATGTGTTAGGATATGAATCTTTCACCATTTATAACCAACCAGAAAGTGTGAAATGATGAAGTGTTTTCACTTAGTAATAAATGCATTTTACCACTTTTGAATAACAGAAGATTACATTAACTCAAAATAAACAAAGAGAAGATTACAATAATTATTTGGCTAAAGGGCACAGATAGTTATTGCAGACAAATACAAAAAAGTAGATATTACAGTAATTGGTTACGCTTCTTTTAAGTTAGAAAAATTAATCAACTTCAAACAAGGTGTTCACACTTAACAGTTCGGTTAGACTCGACTTTTAAGAAACATAAATTAAATTATTCCTATGCTAGGAGCAAGGTTCATTTGGTAGTTTTATCATAATGAACCAACAACTTAATTGTTGCCCAGGCATCTAATGATATTTCGTGCTGACTACAGTTCGACGAAGACTCTAAAGTCTGTCCAATTGTTTAACCCAAAAGGAAAGAAAGGACTTCAAACCTCAAAGTAATCTGAGGAACTTTAGCCTATAATTTTAGCAAAAAGCAATGGTGGAATTACTTCTGGAGGATGCTATTAGATCAGAACTATCTCTAGAGGAATTTTTTTTTGATAAGATAACTATGTGTACAACAACATACCCAGTGTAGTCCCACAAGTGGGGTTTGGGGAGGGTAGAGCATACGCAATCCTTAACCTTACTTTTAAGAATGCAAAGAGGCTATTTTTGGTAGACCCTCGGCCCGGGAAGATAACTATGTCTCTAGAGGAATAAATGTCCCATAATAGCCATATGCCATATACTTTTCACAGGAATCTTTCACAAAATTTCCAACACCCTCAATGGGATAGTCTAGAAGTCGAAGAGAAGAGTAATGTTGTTGGGAACCAAGGCTTGAATCTCAACATAGGCGATACTATGTGAATTCTTCCTCTCTCCCTCTCTCCCTCTCTCTCTCTACAAATAGGATTGCATAAGCACTGAGCAACTATTATTGTTCATTACTAACTCTTATCCACAACATTGAAGGAACGAGTCCCTCAACAACAATGTTAATTGAAAAGCTTGCAACAATTTTGTTCGCGTGACACGTTACGGTTGCAACACTTGCAAAAATTTCATGACCTTAATCAAATTGCAGTAGCAGATCACACCTTCAGATTTTAAGTTTGAACTTTGAACATTACCAGAGTATTGAAGTTCTTTAAAAGGTCTCCTAATAACTTTCCACTAAGTTCTAGTTTGTAAGCTTTCTGCCACAACATGCTTGGTTCTATGTTCCATCTTGTCATACCAATCTTTGAGAGTTCACTAGTTTGATACTTCTGCTACGTGGCTCCAGTATTAATACGACAATCAAGAATTAACAGTCTTGAGTCAAGACATGTCACCAAGGTCCTAATTCTAGCCGTTCAGCTTGCTTTTAAGATGCATACTCACTAATAGATGCAATAAAAAAGAATACATCCGAAAGAGGCTAACATATAAGTAAAATAAGGCCCATAAAGTGTGAAGAACTGAAAACACCATAAAGTTATTCCTATTCAAAGAGCATGGCTCATTTAAGAGATTCCTCATTATGAAGTGAAAAATCTTAATTGTTCACAGACATGCAATATTCATAGTTAACAATGGAAGTGCATCGACACAGACAAAAAACAAGCTTTAGAAAAACAACAAAAATTAGAGGTTATGATTGTCGGTACCAATCAGAATAATTAGAAAATATGTAGCGTCTCGGACAAGGAATTGTCAGCGTGAAAAACCAAACCCAAAAGGAAAAAAAGGCATTTAAATCTTCAAAGTGACTGAGAAGCTCCAAGCAATAAATTTAGTAAGCACAAAGATGCAATCACCGGTATCATCTTTATGAATAATGTTCCATAATGCCATAAGTCTGCTAAATCACGCTTAATATCGTATATAATCACCAGGAAATGAGAAAATAAAGGACATGCTTCCCAACAAAAGAGAAGCAGCTCAGCAAGTTCTAAGGAAGTTAAGAACCTAACTTCATCTAAAATTGTTACATTAGGTTTCAGCTAGATATTAGCAGGGTCTCACAGGATAGGTGCCGAAGCCAAATTCCAGGCTCCCCGAGAAGGAAAAGGAGGGGTGGGGGGGGGTGTTGGACACAGAAAGTTAAGAAGGTGGTAGAGGTAAAACATTGAATCAGATCTAGTGAGGCAATATCATAGCAATTCCGGTTGGCAATTGATGCATAACATATACGTATTCATGCTTCCGTCACTCATTTTCGTCTACATATCTTATTCTCATAATAAGATCAAAGCATAACTATGTTCCACAGTAGGATAAGTTTATTCCATTCTATATAGCTATATATGCAACGGTATCCAAACTTCAACATATATTTAATAAGAAAAGGCACGTCAACTATAGCTTTGATTATTTCTGAGACAGAGCGCAGTATCACCGTAATGTATTGACAAGAAATAAACTGGTAGAATTTAGCACACAATACTTCTTCTTGACAGGATGCTACATTCTGCACCATAAAAGGTATAACAGGTAATTAAACAAGCCGATTTCAGCAAATATGAAAAGTAATCAGTAACTAAGAAATCCTATCATGACGCTTAAGAAATGTTTCCTGCACCTGCAACTGAACTAACTAATCACTTGGAATCATGAAGGATTTAAAACCCAAAAAGTACAAACTTTAGGAAATAAATGAAACTAATCATTACAATACTGAAGAATAGCCAACAAGTATTGCAAAAGAAGTAAAAATGTGAAAACTAAATTAGAAGTGAACACTAAAGCAGCCTAGTTAAATGCTTCTCATAGCACAAAGTTACTTTATTAAAATCAGAAATGCTTGTTAAACTCACAGCACATACAAAAAAAACTAAACTTTCAAGAAAAAATTTATCAGGCAAATTAGTTTCTACTTCAAGAAAAAAATTAGTCCAATCAATTAAGAACAGTTTAAGCAAGCTCTTAATGGTCTATTAGTTACACAAATTTAGGGTTCAAATTTGGGATTCAAACTGAAGCAGCTTACTAGGGTTTCAAAAAGCTGAAACGTACTCACAAAAAAAACAACAAGATTTAATTCGAACGGATAATCAATTAGGGGTTTTGAATAAAAAGAACAACTTCTTTAAAAAGCATCACCGGAAATCCTGAAAAACCGGGGAAAGATCGCCGGCGCCGGAAAAATGTCCGATCAAATACTCGTTTCTTTATCCGACTCAGACGCATGGAGATCCACTTACCGATTGATACTATTTTCTATGCTATCAAAGGAGAATCACAAGCCTGACAAATATGTCACTTTCCAAAAACGGAAAGAACATGTCTCTTTTTAAGAAAGAAGAACTTTATTAAAGGAAACTCGGGCGCGATAAAACCTATTTGTCAGATTTGTAATTCTCCTTCTGCATAACAAGAAAATTGCATCATTCGACAAGACGGTCCACCATTTCTAGCATCTAAGCAGGAAAAAGAAACAAGGATTGATCATTAAAAAATTTCTAACATGAAATGTATAAAAATTGATTGTTCTACTTATAATGGTTCAATTATATAGAGGATTGTGGTAGTTGGATGAGATATGTACTAAACTCTAAAAAGTACAATTAATAAATGAATAGTGGTATTAATTGTTATGTTCAGTCGGTTACGCTTCTCTATCTTCATAAGTTATGAGTAAGATCTACATATATACTATCTTATATCACCTAGTGGTATTAATTGTTATGTTCGGTCGATTACGTTTCTCTACCTTCGTAAGCTATGCGTAAGATCTACATATATACACTATCTTCGCCAAATTTCACCCATAAGAATATACTGAATATGTTATTGTTGCTCAGTCGTTTGCCTTGATTTCACACATTATCATTCAGCTTTCCCTTTATTTTACTAAACTAAAATAGATATACTATTTTTGTAACATAAAAATCACTCGATTTAGCTTAATTACTCTCTCCGTTTCAATTTAGATGAGCTAGTTTGACTTGGCACAAAGTCTAAGAAAAAAAAGACTTTTGTTATAAATAGAATTTTATTTATGGTGAATGTCTATATTTAGAGAGATTCTAGGGTTTATTACTTGGTGGCTAAGTCACCCTCTCCCTATAAATAGAGGGTTCTATTCCATTGTAATTCATCCCAAATCAATAAGAATTCCCTCCCTCTACTTTTCTCTGCAATACTCTTCTTCTTCTTTTATTGTTTCATAACACGTTATCAGCACGAAACTCTAACCAATTGAGTATAAGCTTTGGGATTGAGTATAATGATTGCCAATTATTCCATGAACTTCCTTCATGATTAAATTCTGGATTTAAGGTAAGTATTTTACTTTATTTTTCTCTTTTAAATTCTTAAAATTCTATAATTTAATTTTATATACAAGCAAAGACAACAAAGTTTGATTATAACTCTAAAGGAGTTTGTAAGAAATTATAACCACCTGAAGTGGTAAAATTTCTATGCCCGTCATGATCAAATCCAAGTATGATTGTGGGCAAAGAATTGAAAACCCGTCCCATTGAATTTGCTCCATTCTCATTCCCTTAAGAGAATGTGATAGCAGTATGTGATAAGTCTGAAAGAAGACAAAATTATTACTATGAATGTATCAATGGATGTGGACGTGGCAATAGACGAAATTATAATCGTCATCATTGTGATAATGAGAATAATAAGGATTCTCAAAATAATCCTTCACTCTATGAAAGTAATATTTGTCATCGATTTGACATGAGATTTTATAAAGCACATATAGATGATTATGGTCCATTCATGATGTGAATGTGACAACATCTGATTTATGAATACATATTCATTCTTGGAAGAATATGAACGTGCTAGTGGTAGTGAATATACCGCACTCACCTCTAAAAGAAGGTTTGAGATGATATAGAAAATAATGTCATTATTATGGCATGAATGGTCATTGGTCACGTACCTATTGTACGCCAAAATATTTTGGCATTGTGATTAACAGTAATGCAAGAAACAGATCTTGCATATAATTTTGACCATAACCATAATGGTATAACTTTCTCTTTAAAAGAGATATTCACCATATGGGTGTTGATGAATATGTGGTACTACAAAATTAATTGAGAACTCTACAAGAGCCAATTATACTATTTTGGAGAAAATTAATTACCAAATGAGGTTGTGTTGTAGTAAGTCTCAAAGAAACTTATTGAGTTTCTAAAGTATTCGCGAAAGCGGTTGGTTATATTGAGACTATAAATAAAGGAAAGATTTAATATCTTCTATTACTACAACTTGTAGCGGGGTAATATGTATGTGAAAAGCTACCCGCTTTATTCTCCAGTTTGTACTATACAAATAAAAGAATACCGCAATAAAGTGGATGTTTATTGATATAAAAACTCATATCATAATAAACTTGGAGTTTATTGATAATTGCACACGTCATGGTGTAAACCTGAAGTTTATCAATATTGATAATTTATCCAGTTGGCATACTTGGTTTAGCCATGTTAATTCATGTATGATGTGCAAAAATAATAGAGAATTCACATGGGTAAATATTAAAGAACTAGAAAGTTCTTTACGAATTCTCTTATGTTACTTGTTCTCATTAATTAATATACCAACTAAAATTGGGATTGAATCCCATGAATGCTGGAAATATCAAAGGTGAATATGGGCCCATTCACCTGCCATGTATACCACATAAGATGCATCTATGAGATGGTTACATGTGCGATTATTATTAACCCGCAACATGGTGTTTGCGAGGTAACTTGCTCAATAATTTAATTTAGAGCATATTCCAGATTTTCTATTCAAGAAGTTCATCTTGATAAGTTGGTCTACATCACAGCTGGTTTAGCAAAATGATTTATTGAGTGCCTCCACTTAATAGCTAAACAATTACTTATGAGAACAAAGTTTTATATACCAGTTTGATATACGTTATATACGAAAGTATATTAATTTCTCCCCTCACAAGTGGTTCATGGTCAGGAACCAAATAATTCCATCTTATTATTATTGATGTGCGGTGTATATTTTGATTAACACCATAACGCACAAAGATGGGTTCTCAAAGTTGAGAAAACAAGTTAGTTTTTCTAACATGAGGGGGAGACATGATAAACAGTTGAGAAAAGGTTACGTGGAATGAATTATCATTTATACATCTAGATCCTCGAATAAGATAATATGAACTTGAAGTTCATAAAAGGATAATTCAGTTGCAATATATTGCAAAGCATGCCAGACGCATTTGCTGACCCAAAGAAAGTAACTATATTCTCATTGCAAATGCTCCTATTAAGTCCTAGAAGGACAAAGTCTATGGTATGCTTGAAGCGTATAGACAAATCGATTTCGAATAAACTTCTTGATAAAGAAGATGAGCAAATGATCTAAATGATCATAATAAAGGAGGCAAGTGATCTAGAAGATCACATGACATAACACTTCATAAAATCTCATGAGAGATTCGGGTACATGAATATATGAATGAAGAGATCTCTATGTTATGTCTTTATGAAAAATAAGGAGGTTGGAACCGATATAAAATGTTTGTCGACGACATCGATAATAGCGCTAAATATATATGAGGATCTTAAGTCTGAAGAAATAATTCAAGTAGAATTGGTTTCATATGAAAGACATGTTGTTTTGGACCTGCAGTTCAAACACTTGAAAGTATAAAGTCAATAGTGTGTGCAATCACTTTTATTTATCTTATATGTCTAGCATGACATGAAAAGTTGATATGCATCTAAAGTCTATTTAAATGGCTTATTTGACTATACTTATATGACAATCCCCAAATGATTTAAATTGCTTGAAGCATATACAATTCTTGATCTTGAAGTACCACATCCTCAGTGCAATTTGTGCATATATGTATCTTGCTATAATTATAAGCATGATAATACGATAGCGAGAATCTCTATGGAGATATTGAAGAGCCATTCCACGACATTATATGAAGACATTATATATCTATCAAGAATGATGATTTCAAGGTGAAATATATTCATTCAAGTTAATATGGCTGATTTGTTTATCAAATATCTACCAAAGATCTTTTGAAGATGGTGCACAAGATTGGAATGCAAATGCTTAAGGATGTGAATTGATGCTCTCATTAGGGGGAGTTAATACGTGTTGTACTCTTTTTCCCTTACAAGGTTTTGTCCCACTAGGTTTTCCTTGCAAGGTTTTTAACGAGGCAACCAAAAGGCATATTGTTAGATATATGTACTCTTTTTCCTTCTCTAGAATTTTTTTCCCACTGGGTTTTATTTTAGTTAAGGTTTTAACGAGGCACATTATCTGTTGAATAGACATTCAAGGGGGAGTGTTATAAATAGAATTTTTTTATGGTGAATGTCTATATTTAGAGAGATTCTAGGGTTTATTACTTGGTGGCTAAGTCACCCTCTCCCTATAAATAGAGGGTTCTATTCCATTGTAATTCATCCCAAATCAATAAGAATTCTCTCCCTCTACTTTTCTCTGCCATACTCTTCTTCTTCTTTTATTGTTTCATAACAACTTTTGAAATATGTGGTCCCAAAAGTTTGAGATGTAAAAGCTTTGTGGGGCCATGAGATTTGCGTAGCTACAAAAAGTTTCTCATTAAGGGTAAAATGGGTAAAATAAAAGTTTAAAGCTGAATTGTTTCCAAATATAGAAATGTGTCAGTCTCTTTGGAACGGACTAATAAGGAAAGTGTGTCATTTAAATTGACACAAATATAGTACAAAAAATCACTAAATTATTCTTCATAACAAAATAATCATTCAACCTTGTCTAAGAATCATAACAAATCACAAAAAAAGTAATTCAACTTTACCAAAGTATCATCTAAATGTCTCTCTTGTGTCTCTTAGTGACTTTTTGTCATATTTACGCCAAAATAAAGTGGATTTTTTATTACAAAAAATAGTAACTTTCGTAATATTTAGATAAAGTTGAGTGCTTTTTTATTTACAAAAGGACAGTTTAATAACCTTAATATAATAAAGTAAAAGTTGAGTGACTATCTATAAAATTAACCTTCAGTTGATTAATTTAAAAGAAATTGTACCACGCTACTTTTTCAATATGTTTATTATACACAATCAAAATCAAAATAATGCATGCATCCGGGCGAACGAACCCGAATTGCCTAAAATTTTGTCAGTCCATAAAAATGATCTAAGGAACAGTAGTCATTGTTTCACCAAGACCGTTCCTCGTGTTTATCATTTTAGGGCCACAAAACTAGAATTCCGCCCGATTCCCAGATTATTGTGTGCTATAGCCCACGCCATCTGCATGCATCCGGGCGACCAAACTCGAATCGCCTAAAATTTTGCCGGTTGATCAAAAATGATCCGATGAACAATAGTCTTCGTTTCCCCATGACCGTTCCTCGTATTTTTGGCGTTTTAGGACCATAGAACTTGAATGCCGCCCGATTCCTACACTTTTGTATGC